TTGATGGGCACTTAGGTTGTTTCCATCCCTTTGCTATTATGAATAGTGCTGTGATGAACGTGGGTGTGCATATATCTGTTCTTGTCCTGGCTTTCACTTCTTTAAGACATATATCTAGTAATGGGATTGCTGGCTCAAATTGTATTTCTAATTCCATCTTTTTAAGGAATTGCCATACTGATTTCCACAGTGGTTTTATCATTTGATAGTTCCACCAGCAGCATGTGAGAGTCCCAATCTTTCCACATCCTCGCCACCATTTGTTATTTTCTGTCTTGTTGAACTTTGCTGTTAGTGCTAGGGTGAGATGGTATCACATTGTTGTTTTGATTTGCATATCTCTAATGGCTAATGATCGCAAACATTTCTTTATGTGTTTGTTGGCCACCTGAATATCTTCTTTGGTTAAGTGTCTGTTCACATCTTCTGCCCATCTTTTAATTGGATGGTTTGTCTTTTTGTGGTTGAGGTGTTGGAGTTTTCTGTAATTTTAGAGATAAGTCCCCTGTCAGGTAATGACATCTGATTGCTTGACTGCTGATTCCATGGGTGTTGATTGTGCATCCAAGTTAAAGGAAATCTTTGACAGCTTCATTCTTCTGCATTTATTTTGATGTTGTTCATTGGTCCAGTTGTGAGAACTTTTTGTTCTCTTTATGTTGAAGTATGATCCATACTGAAGGCTGTAGTCCTTGATCTTTATCAGTAAGTGCTTCAAATACTCTTCACATTCAGCAAGCAAGGTCATGTCATCTACATATCACAGGTTGTTAATGAGTCTTTTTCCTCTGATCTTGAGAAAAATGTAATGTATTTGCTAATTCAACATTTGTCATTTGTACAGTTCAGTGAAACCAATTATATCGATCATGTTGTTAGCCATCAGCAATACCCATCACCATATTCTCCATTCCTATAAACAAAAACTCAGCACTAGCCAGGTAAAAGTTCCCGACTTTTCTCTTCCCTCCTACTTCTGGTCAACTCAAACTCGGCTCACTGCCATTGAGTCAATTCCAACTCATAGTGACCCTCATTGGGTTTCTAAGGCTGTAAATCTTTACAGATGCAGATTGCCTAATCTTTCTTCCACAGAGTGGCTGGTGGGTTTGAACTGCCAACCTTCTGGTGAGCAATCCAATCCCTTAACTACTGTGTACCCAGAGCTACTTCCTATCACTGTTAAACTCTGTTAAACAGTTGCCTATTAATGTTTTGTATTGATGAAATCATACTATATATGTCATTTTGTGATTGACTTACTTCAGCATGTTTTCAAGGTTTAGCCTTGTTATCATAGGTGTTACAGCGTCATTTCTGTGGTTGAGTTATACTCCATTTTTCGTATATACAGTATACGGTTTTGTTTATCCATTTGCCTGTTGATGGGCAGTTGAGTTGTTTCCTCCTTTTGGCTGTTGTGACCAGTGCTGCACTGAACACTGTTGTACGTGTATCTATCTGTTCATGTCACTGTTTTCAGGTCTCTTGGGTATACACCTAAGAAAGGGGCTGAATATACCATGGACCAGAAGAACGAACAGTCTGTCTTGGAAGAAATATAGTAGAATGCTCCTTAGAAGCGAGGTTGGAGAGACGTTTACCTCATGTACTTTGACTTGGTATCAGGAAGGCCCAGTCCCTGGAGAAGGGTATTGTGCTTGGTCAACTTAGAGAGTCAGCCAACATGGAGATGGAGTGACACAGTGGCTGCTGCAGTGGGCTCAGGCAGAGCCGTCATGTGAGGATGGCTCAGGACTGGGCAGTGTTGCGTTCTGTGGTGCGCAGGGTCACCAGGAGCCACGACCAGCTGGACAGCACCTAACAACCACGGCGTGCTAGCTCTATTGTTAGCTTTTTGAGGAATTGCCAAACCATTTTCAAAAGCAGCTGTGTGGTTTGCATTCCCACCAGCAGTGGATGAGTGTTCTGATTTCTCTGAATCCTCACCAGCAATTGTCATTTTCCTTTTATAATTGTTTTGAAATTTAGCCGTCTTGTGGGAGTAAAATGGTGTTTCATTATGGTTTTTATTTACAGCTGTCTCCCTAATGGTGTAGGGTTGTTATGAGTCAGAATCAGTTCAATGGCAGTGGGTTTTTTTTTTAAATGGTATAATAAGGAACCCCAGGGGTACGCTGGTTAAGTACTCAGCTGCTAATGGAACGGTCAGCAGTTCAAACCCACCAGCCACTCCACAGGAGAAAGATGTGGCAGTTTGCTTCCATAAAGATTTGTAGTCTTGCAAATCCTGTGAGGCAATTCGGCCTGGCCTTGGAGGTCACTATGAGTCAGAATTGACTTGATGGCAATGAACTGGTTTGGTTAATGGTAAAATAGCTGTTTTAATGTCATTGTGTGCTCATTCTGTCAGATCTCTCATGTCTAGATCTGACTTTTTACTGGTTCCCTTCTGGTTATGGAGCATGTTTTCTTCTTCCTTGGAATATCTAGTAATTATTGACTGGATGCTGGGCATTTATTTTTATGTTGTTGAGTGCTGTATTTTGTTGTATTCCTTTAAAGTATGTATTTCTTTTAGGTAATTATTTGCAAATTAGTATCGTTCTTTTGAGGGTTGGAAAGCTCTGGATGGATCTGGAATAGACTTTCTTTATTCTTTTTTGGACTTTATTTTTTATTGTGATTTGGGTAAAAGTTTACAGAGCAAATTCATATTCTATACAGCAGTTCATACATATTTTATCTCATGATACTGGCTGCAGTTCCCTACAGTTTAACAGCTCTTGTCCCACTTCCTCTGTAGTTCCCTGTTCCCTGTGTCCTTCTTTCCTATGCATTATTGTCCCCTGAGCTATCTCCCTGTGCAAACACTGCCCTTCTGTTCTCCCACGATTGATTGCTCCAAGGAGCCTATCTACTTGATATAAATATTTACCGTATATGCCTGTCTGTTGTTTGGCTGGAAGCTACGGGAATGAGTTCAGTTCCAGAGTTGAAGAGTAACTAGTGGCCATAGTCTCACCAGGCTCTATCAGACGAGTTATCCTGGTGTTTTTTACGATTTTGAGTTTTGTTCCATTTTGTTCTCCCACAATATCCAGGATCTCCTGCAATGATCTCTTTCTGAGTGGTTGACAATGGTAGCCAGGCACCATCTAATTCTTCTAGTCTCATGGTCATACAGGCTGAGGATCACATTGTCTACCAGTCCCTTGGACCAATTGTTTCCATACATCTTGAACTAATTCTTCGTTCTTTGTTCTGGATGAGGAGAAACCCATTGTTGTATCTAGATGGTCGTTTGCAAGCTTTTAAGAGCACAGTCACTACTCACCAAAGGAAGATGTAGAACAATGATTTTGTGTAGCATTTCATGCCAGTTGAGCTTGATGTTCCCTGTGACCATGGGCCCAAGCCCTTACATCCAACTCCTTGCTCCCTCACGGTGGTTGGCTGTGTTTAGCCATACTTCTATGGCATGGCCCTGCTGGACTGTCTCTTGATTGCCTTGTGTTCGTTCAGCAGGCTCTCTCTACTCTGGCTGTAGGGAACAGCTCCTGTCCTGTGTGTGTTCTTCCTGTAGTTGCCCAGTGATACTCTTTTATTTGAAGTTTTACTTTCCCAGCTTCATGAGGTTTCACCTCATGCATATGTATTTAGCCACTGGTCCAAGGGGACCTCTGTACAGATTGTTGGAATTCTTTCTGCTTTAGAACTTAGCCCCACAGATTCTAGCTACTGTGGCTTCCCTGAACTGCGGTCTTTGTCTCCTCTGCTCCCCAGATGACTTGTCTCTGTCTGGGTTTCCCTTTCCTGTGTATGACCTGCACACTGCCTCTAGGTGCTGAGCTGGGCTAATGCCAGACTCCTCTCACATGCGTTCCCTCTCCCAGGATTGCTGTCCCCTACTCCTGTTGTCTGCTGTCTGCAGCAGTGATGGCCGTCCCCTACTCCTGTTGTCTGCTGTCTGGGTGCAGTGATGGCCGTCCCCTACTCCTGTTGTCTGCTGTCTGGGTGCAGTGAT